TATATATATATATATATATATATATATATATATATATATAATTTACCTAAAATATAAAAAAATTATTGTCATATTCTAAATAGACTTATATATTTTATATTATGAACTTGTATATTATTTGTATTTTTATTTTCTATTTTTAATTTTTTATTTTTTAATGGCAATTTGGACACTTTTTAACAATTGAGGGGGTAAATTGAACAACTTTGTCGGGTTCAGAGGTCTATTTGACCCCTTAGATTTCCACGTGGAATGCACGGTTGACATCTAACCGGCTGACGTGACAATGACCGGAAATTAACTTGCAAAAAGTGGGATTTGAACTTTTTGTTGAGTTCAGGGGGTGAATTGGAGCTTTTTTGAGTTCAGGGTGCGAATTGAGCATTCCGAATAGATACAGGGGCCAATTTGACCCTTTAGCCTTGATTTTTTATTAAACAATTACATTATACTCCCTCCGTATCTTTAAAATCTTCCCATTTCAAAAGTAGGTAGATTAAAAATAGTGAAAGATGATATGAATTATTGAGGGTATGATGGGAAAATAGTGGAATAATGTGGTGGAATGTAGGATAAATCCAAAAAAAGTAGTTGTAATAGTGTATTATTTTAAGAATTATTGAGGGTATGATGGGAAGATTTAGAAATGGGAAGATTTTTGTGTTACGGACGAAAAAGGAAAGTGGGAAGATTTTTAAGTTACGGAGGGAGTATTACATTATCATTAATGTATGGCATTGACTTTAAACAATGATTATATGGGTTATTATCATATAATGACATTGCCAACATGTTCGGTCAAATTGACATTATTTTTAACATTGTGACATTGTTTTAATGATATTGATTTTTTTACTTTGATGTTTTTTATAACAATTGCATTTTCTCGTGGACTCACTCTGTTTTTACAGTAAATAATATCCCCATATGTTTTCAATGATATGATATTGTGACAATTTTATGATTGTTGTTATATAGAGACAATATAGTGACATACATTGCCATTTTTATTTATGTCAATGATATTACTTTTGAAACAGTGATATTATTATGTTATCCTATAATGGCACAGTCAGCATGTCATTGCAAATTTAGCTTTATAATTTCATGTCATTGTAATAAACATTGTAGTAAACTTTAATAAAGTAATTTCATGGCATTGTCCAAAACAATGCAATAAAATCTAGCAACACAATGACAATGGTATTGATATTAAATTACTAACACTGTCACAACAGTTATCATTTTACTATCAATGAAAAAGGTTTGCCAAAAAATGAAACTATTTTCAAAACAACAATTTCAATCTGAAAAATGAAATAAAAATGCAAAAAGTAAAAGTAATATAATAATTTAGAAATTGAAAAGTAAAACAGGTCTAGAAAGTAATACGATTAACTAAGATATTGAAAAGTAAAACTACGTACCAAGAGAGACTATAGCGGCACAGAGGAACTCGATAAAAGAAATATGAGGGGAGAAAGAGGAAGAGGATGAGACTCGTCTGCGGCGACATAACTCGTGTCGGCGATCACTCCAGCGACAACCAGCTACAGTAAATGCATCAGGGACCTCCAACAATTGAGAAAGATCGCTCTATTTATAAATCCAGTTGCCAAAGACTCATGGTCGCCAAAGGGTCCGACCCTGACCGGAACGTAGTGTTCCATACCCGAACCCGCTAAGCTAATAAAGGGTCCGGACTCGACCGGTATACACGGCGGGTCCTAAAATTTGGATCTGGACCCAACAGGTCTCAAAACCGGGTGTCTGGGTCGGGTAGACCCGCCAAACATGAGATACACAACATTACAAACTTTATGAAAATAACAAGGCTTATATATGAAATGTAAAGCAAAATGCATGAACTAGCTCACAAAATGTAAAGCAAAGTGCGCAAACCAAAGGATAGGTTATACTAGAGGCGTATACCTCTACTCTCGTAGAGAAATCTCGTACAATAGACTAGAAATTAGGTCACAAAATAGTCTCTTGGACTACTGAGGACATAAAAGCATTACACACACACATTACTATGTCTGACAATACTAATCATAACAAAAAATTGGGTTTTTTACACCGAACTCAATACATACTTTATTAGTATTTATAAACGGGTATGAATTTTAGGACATCTCCATGTCTCAATATCACTTATACAGTAGGTATGTATTAATGTGTGTGTATATATATTACAAATGTTTTTTTGTGGACTGTAATTTTTGATCTGGTCTGCACTGGTATGGTATGGTAAATGTTTGGTCTCTGTGTATATTATAACTATGGAAGTCTGGTCTGATCTGGTCTTGTGTGTTTGAGTCTGGTATGGTCTGGTTTGTTTAAGTCTGATTTGATCTAATCTTGTTTGGTCTGGGATTGAAAACAATCCAAAAGAAAACATGTTAATAAGAAATTTTAAAGGGTTATTAGTCTTTAATGAGTCCGAATAATATATATCATATCCGACCCATTTATTAAAAATAGGGAAAACTATCAAATAAGCTCCTCTACTTTTCAAAATAATCAATTAAACCCCTTAACTGAAAATTAGTTCAATCAAACCCTCAAACTCATTAAAAAGTGGCAAACCAATCTTCTTAACCGGTAATGAACCGTGTTACCGGCTTTTGGCTGTTTTCCCATTTCCTTTTAATTTCATTTTCTTTTGTTTCCTTCCGATCACCCTCGTTCTGACTGACCAAATGGATACATCGTCCTGCGAAACCAACTGATGGATGCACCGCCGTGGCTGAGAAGATAGATGCACCGCCGTGGCTGAGAAGATAGATGCACCGCCGTGGCTGAGAAGATAGACGCACCACCGTCGCTGACCGGCGAAAGTCCTCATCGCTGACGCTATCTCACTGGCCCATCCCCTGTGACGCGCTCTCCCTCCAAGCTTTCAAGCAGCGCCTTCGCAGATGCAATTTGGATCCCTGGAAAACCGTCGGTTGCCATCGATGTTGGAATCTCGAATTGAAACCGGGTCTCCAAGCTTCAACTATTAGAATTTAAGAAGGGAAACCCAAGTTAAATCCAGGGTTAAAAAACATCTAAATTGATTATATGGCTTGCGTTGGGGAAGTTCTGGGAGATGGGAGTAACGGTCGACGGTGAAATTGGGTTGCAGCTTTGGTTGTTCAAGACAGAAAGTTGCAGCGTCAGGTTAGGAATTCAAGCCAGAAGAAACCCAAGTTTCAATGCAGGGGAAGAAGAAAATAACAAGCGAAGAAAAGAGGGAAGAAAAAGAAATAAAGTAAATAGAAAACAAAGTAAAGGAAAATCATGGCAGCTAGCTAGCAGAGAACTATGGAAGGAGAAGAGAAAGTGTGAGCTGAGGAAGAAATTGACAGGAAAGAAAGAAACAAAGCTGGAACGGGAGGGTGGAAGGAGAACGGCAGAGGAAAAGGAAAATAGAGGAAAAAAGTGAAAATGGGAAAAAGTGATAAACAACTGGTTAAATAAGTTCATCAATCACCGGTTAAAAAGAGTGGTTTGCCATTTTTAATGAGTTTAAGGGCTTGATTGAACAAAGTTTCAGTTGGAGGGTTTAATTGATGTTTTTGAAAAGTAGAGGGGCTTATTTGATAGTTTTCCCTAAAAAATACTAACGGATCTGGATCCTGATAAACAGCATAAAATATAGACTCATACACGTTAAAAATAAATTGTTCTTGGTTTAAAAACTCTTAACTCTTGTTCACATTTTCAACTCTTATTTTAGTCCTATTTAGATCTATTTCTTGTTAAAAATATTTCATCCATCCTTTCAATATCCACAAATTAATTGATAAAATAAATAACAAAGTTTTTGGGACACCATGAAAACTTGTCAAGTTACGAGTGATAGGGAGTACCATTTTTCATACGAGACTTGTGTATATGTAATTATGTACTACCTCTATTCTCTTTTAATGGCAACATATGACTTTTTGCACTATTCACATATTCTATTTTTACTATATTTTATTTATTAATGTATTACCAATTAAATTTTAAAAAAATATTTGTAAATTCCTCTCATTTTAAATTTTCAAAATCTGAAATTTTAATTTTTTACTAATAAGGAATAAAAGATATTAACGGTCAAACTTGTGCATTCGCAAGCGCGAAAAGTGAACCGTTGTAATTAAGAAAGAACGGAGGAAGTATGCTCCGAATTAGGGATGACAATGGGGCGGGGTTGGGGCGGGGGTTCACTCCCCCATCCCCCGCCCCGTGTCTAAAAAATCGCCCCGCCCCCACCCCATCCCCCACTACTATTCGACCCGCCCCATCCCCCGCCCCGACCCGCTAGACCCACGGGTACCCAACAGGGGAAGTACTCGTAAAAAATTAACATCATTTTAGACTCTCACAATTTTTCAAAAATTAAACAACACTTCTAGTAGTCAAAAAAAACTTTTACTTTTTAAGTGTCAATGTAATCTTACATCTCATTTCAAATCTAGAACACATTATACGCGTTCTAATTTAGTCATTTTTATCAAACTCTAAATTAGCATTGATTAGCTCTATAATATTTTCTTAAACCCTGCATTCAATTAATCATGACCATTTGACGGCATCTAGGACGACCTATGATCACCAAATTTTAAGAGCCCTAACTACAATCATAAAGATGACATTCAAAAGAAAAGAATTAATGCATTGTAATAGTAAAGGGAAAAAACTTTCACACCGTGCCTGAGGCGTTTAAGCTAATATCACTTTATAACTTTCCCAAATTCATTTTACTTTATCCCTAAAAAAATCATTTTACTTTATGATTTTGATAAGCAATTTAACAAGACAGCTTAGTTATTAAACAAGAATTAGAGAGACCCATTAAGCACAATCCATTAGATAGGAAATCACTAAACCACCAGACCATCATGCTATTTTAATTACTTCGTATTAGTATTATTAATTATTACGGGGACGATGCGGGGACGGTGCGGGGGTGCATAACCCATCACCCGCCCCATATTTATGCGGGAGAAAATATCTCCCCACCACCCGCCCCAACTCCCCACGGGGCGGTTCCCACGGCCCCCGCCCTCATTGCCATCCTTGCTCCGAATGCTCCAATCATTGGAGCAGAACTCCTTAATATTTAATCTCTGTAGTGTAGAGACTACAGAGTCTGAAGTAACTTCTCCATCACTTCTTCATCGCCATACCGTCGTCGCCATGTTACCCGCTTGGCTCAGCCCAGTCTCCTTGTACGGCGGTTTCATTCGGCGGTGCCTCTCAGTCGCCGGCCTCACTCCGCAATCATTGGATATCGATGACGAAACCACTCTCCACTTTTGGGGCCCGAACCCGACTTCATCGCCGTCTGGGAAGCCCGCTCTGGTCCTGATCCACGGCTTCGGCCCAAACGGCGTCTGGCAGTGGCACCCCCAAATCTCCTTCTTCGCCTCCGATTACAACGTCTTCGTCCCCAACCTCGTCTTCTTCGGCCGATCCGTAACCAAATCCACTGATCGTTCGGAGGTTTTCCAGGTAGGTAGACATTATTCTACATGAGGACACCATTTAATTTAATTCAATTCAATTTTAGTGTGATCAGAGATATTGAAAAATAAATAAAATTAATTTAATTTGCAGGCCAAGTGTGTGGGGAAATTGATGGAGAAACTGGGGGTGGAAAAGTTTTCGGTGGTGGGGACGAGCTACGGCGGATTCGTGGCGTACCACATGGCGAGGATGTGGCCGGAAAGAGTGGAGAAGGTGGTGATCGCGAGCTCGGCCATTAACTTGAGGAAGCAGGACAATGAGGGACTGTTTAAGAGGGCCAAAGTGGACAGGATAGAAGATGTGCTGCTGCCGGCTACGGCGGAGCAGTTACGGAAATTGCTATCGATCTGCACTTTCCGGCCGCCTTCTAGATTCCTGCCGGATTTCCTTTTCAACGATCTCATACGTGTAAGTAGTCTGGCTGCGGCCTCTTTTTATTATTATTATTATCATTATTATTATTATTATTATTATTATTATTATTATTATTATTATTATTATTATTATTATTATTATTATTATTATTATTATTATTATTATTATTATTATTATTATTATTATTATTATTATTATTATTATTATTATTATTATTATTATTATTATTATTATTATTATTATTATTATTATTATTATTATTATTATTATTATTATTATTATTATTATTATTATTATTATTATTATTATTATTATTATTATTATTATTATTATTATTATTATTATTATTATTATTATTATTATTATTATTATTATAATTATTGTTATTATTATTATGCGCTCATCCAGGGCTGAGCCAAGGGGTTAGGGTAGTCAGGCCTGAATATTTGAGGGTATAGAGCTTTGAAATATCTTCGTTTTGATATACTAGCATTATTATGATCCTTGTAATTCGTTACGAGTAAAAAATTATGACTTGTGAAAAATCAGCACTACTTAAACGTAAAATAAGCAAAACTTGATGGCTAATATTGATTATTTCCCCAAATTTTAAACGTAACGTATAATTAACTCATTGCTTACAAAGAAAATTTATCTTATTGCTACGAGTGTCTATTTTCTAAACTACAAACGAAACATTCAACTTGAATATCGTCTAAAAACGATCTACCATTTTCATTTTGTGTATAGTTGATTTTCGACTCCTTGATTCGTTTTTCTAGCTCTGCCAGTGCGCACATCCGGCCTAACCCGACCTACTCGAGGCGGTTGGATCAACCGACACTGTCCGTTGGGCTCAGAAACTTAATTGAACAGACAATCTGGACTAGAGGTGGCAACGGGTCAGATTTTCACCGGGTGGAGGCTCATCCACGTCCACCGGTTAATTTTTTATACTCCACCCACCCGTCCATCATCCATTAAAAATTACATCCACATCCAACTCATCCATCTTGAACGGATTATCGGGTGGATCGGGTGAGTAGCGGGTGAAATATAAATGGTCAAACTTGAGACAAAATAAATAAGTTACAAAGAGAAATCATGACAATTAAAAACCAAAAATTAAGAATTCATTGTAAAATAACAACAAAAACATGAGCAATTAAGTACTCCAATCATTAATTCACTGCCAATGATAAAGAAAAACTTAATGTTAAACAAAATAGAAATAAAAATTCTTCAAGTTGTTAAATTCTGCATTTATGTATCGGCACAAAACTATTTTGTTATTTAACTGTCACTTCTTGAAGCTCTCCAATCATCTTTGTTTCACCAATTAACTATAATTATTAGTATATACGTAGTATTATTAAATAGATATAATATATATTATATATTATATACTTATATGTGGGTGGATGGAACGGGTGACGGGTCGGGTGATGGGTTGGATGAGCCTTCATCCACACCCGATCCACCTCGTCTTTCGATCCACCCGTCATCCATTTTTCATGCATACTTCTTCGGGTTTTCATCCATATTTTCGCTTCGGATTGACTGAGTATCCGCGGATGCGGGTGATATTGTCAGCCCTAATCTGGACGTACTACTCTGCACCACCCTAGTCAGTCGCTTCTTTTCAACTTATCCATCACTCTCATTTACTACTATCACATTGTTTAGTTAGAAAATCTCAAAAAAAAACCATATATGGAATTGAGTATTTGTCTCTCCATCTCACCAACTATTTCCCTCGCTTTAAATGGTACTCTGATCCGGATTTTAAGATTTGACGTGGGAACATGTTTTGTTCACTTTCATCTACCAATCTCTGAAATCTGAATCAAATTTAAATACTCCAATTATATTTTTGGAGTATTCAAAATTATGTAGGGAGTATTTACTTAAAATTTCTATTCAATAGCAAAAATTAAATTTTAATTGATAGAGAATTGCAATTCCAATTGGATTCGAATATATAAATACGAATTTAAGTTACTCATTATATTTTTGGTATAGCGTTATACAGATATGATATATGGAGTACGTAGTAAGATACTACGTACTACGTACATAAATGTGTGTTACATATTTACATACAATAAAACTTAGTACCGAAAACGAAAGAACTTAGGGTTGGTTTGCAACTGCTTTTAAAAAAGCACTTTTCAGTTTTTGGCTTTAAAAAACACTTATTTTCCCAAACACTACAACTTTTATTTTTCTTGGCTTCCGCGTCAAAAGTGCTTTTAGTTTTTCTATTACACAAAAAGCATTTATTTTACCAAACACTACCCACTTTTACTTTTCAAAATCACTTTTTTCTCAAACACTATCAACTTTTATTTAATCACTTCTCCTCATTTCATTAAAAAAAGCGCTTTTTTAAAAGCAAAAGCTGTTGCAAATAGACCCTTACTTTTTTTAACCTGATGGTAGTCCAAAAAAGCCGAATGATTTTTGGGACAGGGGACAGGGGACACCTTGCCAATTTATTAGGATGAAAGAAAATTATAATGAGTAAGAGGCCAAATCAATGCCTACTCAAAAGATTAGAGTACAAGGGTAGTAAATATGTTCCTATAAGCCAAGTACTCAACCGCCCTATTGATAGTAGGATGAATGTGGGTGATGGACTAATTTTTGCCTTGGATCATGACTTCTTGTATCCGAGTCCAAGTCTTCCAATGTTGCGTCTTCATTCCAATTATCCCATTAAAATTGTTCATGTTATCTACCTCAAGCACAAAGAACTAACTTGTTTGGTAGTGTGGAAATAATTTCAACCATTCCTAATTCACATAGCCTTCAATGTTGTGCAGAAATTATACACAGAAAATAGGATCGAGAAGGTGGAACTGCTGTACGGATTAACCATTGGAAGAGATAACACGCCCGAAGTTTATCCTCTTCAACAGGTCATCTTTAATCTCACTTTATTCTATTACTATAATCTAAAGAAGTTGCTCGTAATATGAGTAAAACATAATCCATATCCTTAAATAGGAGTCTAAACTAAATCTTCCTTAAACAAGATTGAAAATTAATATTCTACCCTTAATACCCCTAATTAGTTAATTAATTAATTAATATAATTAATTGCTTCTTAGTCTCTGATGGTACCATGGACTCGGGCCATGGCCCAATTACGTATTTCAGCCCATAACGGGATCAACCCATAACGGGAATAGCCCATAACGGGATTAGTCCTCGATTGGATTAGCCTAATTAACAGGATTAGCTCATAAACGGGATCAAGTCATAAAAGGGATTAGTGCTCAATAAGCCGCTAGGCCCATTGGGAACCAGGCCCGCGATAGGAACCCACAGCCAGGCCGGGCTGCACAGCTGACTCGAGCCTGGGCGGAGTTCTAGCAAGGCTGGGATATTCATGGGGTTCACATGATAGGCTATCATCGGAGCATAGCTATTTGACAGCACGCAGGTCTCGACCGGAATTCATGAACAAGGAGATAATTATTACTTGACATCCAAGGCGTGATAGGAGTTCTATTTGAGCAAGAATGTAATTAAATAACATTTATTGTATTAGTTTCCTTCTAGAATAATGACTCCTAAAGTCTATAAATACTTCATGTAAACACCCTACCAAGGGATCCAATCCGCGATTCATCCTTCGGAATAAGAGTATACTGCCTTACGCTGCCATATTCTTCTTGACTTTTCATATCTTTCGTAGATTTAGCTCTCGTAGTTGGATTAAACTCCATCGGTCTCCTTACATAATCGGGCCATTTCGTTGGTGGCGGCGGCGGTGATCAGAGGCATCAGAGCTCTAGGAACCGGCGACGGGTCATATTGGATCTGGAAATTTTTGGCGGATTCCGGCATCTAGCAGTAGCTCCGGCGGCAAATCCTAGAGAGTTATCCTTATCCAAGTTTCAAGGAATACATCTACTTGAGGATTTTTAAAAATTACTCCAATTTTTACACTTTCTCCATATTTTATTACGAAGTACTATTTGGGAAATTATCTTTATGACCTAACTTACCTATAGAATCATGAGTCCTGCTTGGGGTACCCCAATCTGTACACCGTCTGTGTACACAGACATTTGGACAGAAAGTCCTGCCCTCTTTCAAACGAATTGTCTGTGTACACAGGCAATTCGGGGGTAGGTACAAAATGAGGTACATTTTAGGGTACGTATAGAATTTTTGTAGAATCATAGATATTTTACAAAGATCCAAAATCCTAGCTAACTGGCATTGCCATATTCAAAATTATGTCGTAAATTTGATAACTTATTTTTTTAATAATGATTAACCTACCTGTTTTAATTATTATTGATAGAGCATCCCTTTCTTTATCTCTTGTGCTACTTTTCGTTCAAGAAATTCATGATTTGAGTATGATAATTACTCATGCATCTTTCTTCTAAAAATCGTTTTTTAGTATTCTAAAAAGGGTATGACAAATTTTAAAAAAAGTATGATACAGAACAAAATGATCAAGTTATATACTCCGTACAGCCGTACTTCGTGTGGGTACAAACTACAAATGAAAATTTGATGTACAATTAAAGTTGCCAGAAAGTATATATTCGTATTAGTAATTGCACACTTGATTAGTATCGATCACATCAATAATGATCGTTTAATCAATAATCACCAGAAAATTTCGTGTTTCGCCGTCGAGTCAACCACGTGCTACTACTATATATCCGGCCACTTTGCCACCCAGGGGCGGAACCATGATTATTTTTCGAGGGGGCTAAATAGTAGATCCAAACTTAAAAGACTTATTAAATTGCACTCTGTAATAAAAAAAATTATCACTTGAGGATGTTTTTGACTATTACATTCTTTTTTTATTGGGTAATTTTTCTAGAAGACTCACCATCCCATGTTACAAATTTATACTCCGTATATAGACATACATCACTCATAAAAGTCTACTAAGTCACCATAAAGATATATAAATCATACTCTAATTTTTTTTAACAAATAATATAGGCATATTAAGTCATTGTTATTGATTAAATTATTCTATGAAGCATCAAGGTATGTATCAGGCTGAATGGAAAAATGTAAAATAATACTACTATACAAGCAAACAATTACAAATAAATAACTCAATTAATAGGCTTCTATTAAAACAACTCAATTAAGTAAACAAACAACCTGGATATTAATTAGAAGCCTCACGCCCAAACTCAAATAGTTAAAATCAAACTTAATGGAAAGCTAAGAAGCAAAGCTACCCCCTTGCTCAGTTGCTGCTCGTTGCTCAATAAGGTCGAAAGAGCACCTCTTTGCAATTCGAGTTTTTTTCCGTATTAATGTTAATTAATTAATTATTTACGGAAATAATGCTGGAAAAAAAGTATTTACCAAAATACTGCTGGCCTTAACCGTGGTCAGGACAAAGTCGCCCAACCGTTGGGCGACTTATAAGTCGCCAAACGGTTTGGCGACTTATAAGTCGCCCAACGGTTGGGTGACTTATAAGTCGCCCAACGGTTGGGCGACTTTGTCCTGAAATATGGTTTCAGGCAAGCAGCTACTGCCAGCCACGCACGATCGTGCCTATTACCTAAAACACCAAATCAGCTTGTTTTTCGCCCTGGTTCAATCCAATCCGATCTGTTTGCTACAAATAAGGTCTCCTTTCTCCTTTTGAAGTGTTACAAACTAGATACAACACATGATAATCACCTACTCTCAACAACATAAAAAACACCTTATAAACACCGCTAAAAAACTTTCAAATCATAACCGGTATAACACAGTTCAATCATCATATATGCCATAACAAATAATCATGTAATATTCATACTCGAACACATCAATACAACATAGAATACTTAACAAGAGAAAATACATCAAAACTTGTAAATTGTTCCTACAACATCTATTGCATAAGAAAAACTACAATACAAAAGACAAACTACAAGTTCCCATCAATCAGCTTCGTCATGGAGATGTTGCTGCTCATGTCTACGCCTACGGCGTTGTCGTGGTTGAAGAACCACTCTCTCATGTTGCGTCTGGGATGATGAAGCCGCGGCTGCACTAGACGTGGATGCCATCTCCTGAGATGCGGGCATGTGTATAAGATGTCCGTAGTCTACTCGACCCAACACATCTGAGCATAACGAGGCAATGCCTGTCAGAGTCTGTCCATACATGTCCACATCAGGAATATCAGTCACAGTGGCAGTAGCCCGCTGATGTATGCGCTGCAAAGCTCGTGTCTGCAATACGAAACACAATTACAATTACATTGAAATACATACAAGTATTACATAAATAAAATGACTTACTTTACTAATTAGTAATATACTCACCGTAAGATGCAATGCCAATGAGCTAGGCTGATAATGATGAGTAGGGAGTCTGAACGAAGGAGACACAAACAACCGAGTGATGCTGTAGTACCATCCCATGTAATCTCCTGAAACTGATGGCACATATGTGGGTGTCCCAGCCACGGCTAGCTCAGCTCTCCTATCCCACATAGTCACGTATCGGACATGTCTGAGTGCCCAATCCTCTGTATGCTTCCCACGCCTATCCAGCTTATGCAGCTCTACATAAGTGTCGATAGGACGTGGAATGACCTGCTCAAACCCAAACTGTCGCATGACTCTATCAGGCAAATGAAGCTCAACAATGTCAAAACATATCAGCGGCACACGTGCTCGCCATATGTGAGTCTGCTCTCGTCCAGCTGGGGGCAACTCTGCTAACATATCAGGTCTATACGGCATCCATGTGATCTGTGTCGTAAACATACAAAATTAGTATTTATTCTACACCTATTGTAGTTATTGTTATACTACACACACCATACCTGGTCCTCTGACATCCGATCCAATGCATCCCTGTACACACCGAGGCCAGTAGCGGATGACATGCGAGATAAACCAGCATATAGCCACCTAACCATTAATATTACAATATCAATAATATGGATTTTATTAATGCATTTACATTCAACAAAAACTAACACAAATACAAACGATTGAAAACATACCGACGGCCTAGAGGGTCCACGCCCCGTACATGATGTGGTCCTAGCAGACGTGGAGGCTCATCAGGCAGTGGCTGTCCATCAATGCCATGATATCCAACTATAATGGGACGGCCAATGTGGATATACTCCCATGACCAAATCTGGAGGAGTAGCAAAAATCCCCCCAGCTCTGTGCTCCCTCTCTGGCACCCGCGACACAGCTGCCTGTAGAGATAAGCTAGGGTGGCACTACCCCAGCTAAACTGTGCTGCTACATCAAACCTCTCTAGCAAAGGCAGGTGTAGCACCTGAACCTCATTTCCGCTCTTGTCAGCGAAAATGGAGGCTCCCATCATCATCAATATATACGCCCGAGCATGCTGCTGGATGATCATCTCATCAACGTCGGGAGGAAGGGCCTGGAAGTGCTCCCTCAACCATGGCATCCTAAGAGATGACCCCTGAAGGTCAGCCCTAAGAACGGGGCGGATGCCTAACAACCTCTCACACTCATCCACCCACTGTCGACAAGCAGTGCCTGTAACAGCTCTCCCATCAACCTCTAACCCGGTCAGTACAGCCACATCTCCCAATGTCACAGTGACCTCACCAACAGGGAGGTGAAATGAATGTGTCTCCTGCCTCCAACGCTCAAGTAGAGCAGTGAGGAGGGCTCTATCTAAAGGCACAGTAGCCACTAGCCTGTGCAGTGTAAAACAAACCTGCTGCACGAACATATGCTAGGACTCTGGGGTCGACATGTAAATGGGACAAACCCCGCAGATGCTCGCGGCACCTATCAACCTGCACATCCATGCCAAGCCAAACATCCTCACTCCTGTGTGAGGCCTGCAGTGTCAGGACAGAAGGATCACTCGGCCCAGGATCCGCTATCACCTCCATGTCTACAAACAAAATTTGTATTAGTTCTAATTGTAT